GGAATGCAATAAAGCCAAAAGAAAAGAAAAGCGCCCACTGGATGAGAAAAGAAAGCAAAATAAAATAAATCCTTTTGCTGCAAATCAGGCTAAGGTATTACTAATCCATATATTTTAAAATCACAGAATTATATAATATACAGTACCTATTCCTTATATGAAGTTGTCCACATACAAGAATGTGACAAAATTATTATCTGTAAGTGGAGGTAGGCTGTAGCACAACTCACAGCAGAAAAGTACCTAAACATAAATCAGTATCTTCATACATCAAGCAACAACTCTGCATTTCTTTAAGTAATAAAAACTGTTAAATAACATTTTTGACCTTGACTGAAAAGAATCTTTAAGCCCAATGTGCATACATCTACCTGCCCTTACTCTTCTCCATCAGTCAAAAAAAATCAGGCAGAAAAAGTAAGATTTAGCTTTGGAACTGTTTTTTTTTCTGAAAATCCAAGTCAAAACAACAAATGCAATTTTCGGATTGCTTTGCCGAGATTTAAAAAATCGCATTTGTACTCACTTTTAAGCAGGCATGTGAAGCTAAAAAGACTATATTTGAGTAAGACTCACTAAATCTGGCTGTTACCAAACCAATGTCATTCCAGTAGACGCGTGTTTTGAATTGACTCCTGAAGAAATAACGTCAGATACTGTTAAGTACAACGGGAAGGAGAATTTCACTGAAATATGCTGAGGGATGAGAATAAACGCATTCACAGTTAATAAGAAAAGGTGGACGTGAGAAAGGATTTTAAATCCACGGTATCCAGTACATTAATCTGTCCCATATAGCCCTTAAAATCTAATCTACTGTTTTACCTGGCGGCAATGAGATCTAGAAGATGTTGCCATCTGTCGTTGATTTTGCCAAGTTTGTATTCAATCTCTGATGCTTTGCTCTCATGGCTAGCTTTAGCAAGTCGCTCTCCCATTTGCTGGAGCTGGACTTTATTCTCTTGGGCTACAGCAATTTCCTCTTGATAATCCTGGTCAGCAAAGAGCAATCAAGGGTCAGGGTTCCTAATCTGAATACAATCTACTCTGCACTACTAACCAAAATGTAAGAAAATTTTAATGTGGTTTTGTTTTTCTGGTGTTTAATACAATGGAGAGACAAGCTCTTAAATATTATCATATAACCATGAACAGCCTTATCAGAAAAATGAAAGAAACCATTCTGTAAATACATATCCTACAGTTAAGACACTCTTCACAGGCAACTCTGATTGGACATTTACTAAAGGATTTGGTTGCCTTTGACTTGGCATTCATTTAAACAATTTTCTAATACCCTGAAAGGTCCCATCTCAAGAAAGACAGGAAAAAGCTGCATAGCGAGAGAATACAAACAAGTAGTCTTACTGGAACATATAAACATCTATGCCAGGTATAACCTCCATTTCAGCTAATTCAGTATCCACTCTGCAACACAAACCAAGCAAGCAGTAAAAGCATAGTATGTAAGTGCATACGCAGAGCAGAGCACTATACCTTTTTAAGTTTATCAATCATTTCTTCTATGAGGATGTCACCATTTTGAGAAACCTTACTTTCCATTTGTGTCAGCCACTCACAGAGCTCCTTGTTCTTCTCACTGAAGACAGCCCACTCATTCAATCTCTCACTTACTTGCTGGCGACGTAAGGAGACCTTAAAACATTTGCAGAGTAAAAAAACCCAACAAATTAGTAAATGCATTTAAGGGATGGTTGACGCACTTTGTGTCTCAAGATGAACTCTTCCGGCTCTGCAAATGTACTCCAGCCACTTAGCTGCCATTAAAGCAAACTGGAGTTGTCCTGCAAAAATCTTGCATGACTCTGAGTTTAAAGATAAGTGTTAATCTCTGGATTCCTGTTAGCTAGATCCTGCTGCATACAAGCAGGTGTCCAAGTTAGGCTCAGAAGTCCGTGAATATATTCTGTTTGGTAATGTCTCTATTCTGAAAGGTTTTATTAAGACAAGTAAAAATAAATTTCCTTATAATTTTGCCCACTTATAAACTGTTATAAAGTATATTAAGAGTTTTTTTTTTCCATTTGAGACATTAAATAAAAAAGGAAGATATAAACGCTTGACTAAAGCACAAACTAGATATATGCATATAAACAACATCTAGTGCAGAAAAAACTCTGACAGACTGCATAATTTGTGCATGAGCATGATTTGCAAGTAGGGTTAAACCAAACATACACTGTATTTTGCAAAAGCAATTTTCTGCTGGAGTTCTAATACATACATTTCATAGACGACAATTTCTGCAGTACTGGCACGACAACTTCAGAGATTCTAAAGGACTAAGGTATGATGTAACACAAAGGAATAGGCATAAAATGTTAGTTAAAACAGACAAGTGCTGTGGTTAATGAGGAAGAAGAAAAACACTGCTCTGTTTAATTGCTATAGCAGTGGTACCATCAGACTGAGATTAATAATAGACAGGGATGGAAACTGAAATCAAAAGAGTTGCAGAGGGTGAGCACAAAATCATCTCTCCAGCTTCTGACATTTGTACAACTACTTACTTTGTCTCCTTTGTAACTCGAGTTGTTTCTGACTTTGTATCAGAATTTCAACTGAGAAGATGAAGACTGCATCTGCTCTTTCATAAACGAAAGCGATTGCTGTACGCTCTAACTACAGCGCTAGATTTAATAGGAGCATGCACGTAATCTCACATTTCCTTTCTGTGGTTCTAAACTTGATGGTAGCTTTCCGGAAATAAGCAATGGTTGAACAAAACTTCATCAGGTTACATCCTGAAACACTCAGTATGCACAAACCTAAGATAAACATTCTGTATTTGGCTCCCTCCTTCACCATAAACATAGTGCAGTCACTATGCTGTAGTTTAGAAGTATCCAAGCTGATTCACTCAAATGCAGCTAACTCACAAGTTCTGAGCTATTAACTTTTAAGCATTTTTCCTACTTTTAGTGTATTTTTTGCACCCTTCACAGGTTCCTTGCATAAGGTAACTATTTCCAAGTTAGCCCATGTATGTCTGCACTGCAATCTCTACTGAACCACAGGAAAAAAGATAAGGATAATCTGAAAAGCAGGATGAGGGAGAGCCCATTATCTGGTTCTCTAAGTGCAAGAAATGGACTAATAGCATGATGCACCTGAAAATCACATAATACTGCTGAGTGCAGTTCGCAGCCAAGCATGTCACCCTCAGATTAAGAGAAGTGCAAACACTAACGTCTGAAAAAAGAGAAGCTGCAAGCGGAGCAGAAGGTATGATGGAGCGATAATGGGGCAGGGAGGGGACATCCTTCCTGTGCCTAGCTCCTCCCAGCAAAGCGCAGTGAACTGCACTCCTCCTGTGTTTTCCCAGCCAGTCATGCCACAGTCCCACATCACAGTGTACAACTTATTGGTTGTTTTCTCAAGTCTGCTTAAATATGACCTCAAGGCTGTGACAAAGTTCAAGAGATCTAGAAACATAAGCGGTAACTAGAGCAAGCGCTTCAGTGGACGTTAACGTGATCCAGTAAGAACAAACGTTTCTTAACAGAAGTTTCTTCTTCGTAATAGAGCGCATGTCTGTGTGGGGGAGAAGGGCAAAGAGTGGGAGAGGTTATGCACGCTTCCCACCTTCAGATACCTCATGTGTTAGCTAAATTAGGCAGTTAGTCCCCCTGGGTTGCCTCTGTTGTTGGGAAGGGAGGGGAAGTATGTATGTGTATGGGGGGGGGGAGGCTCCTGCTTTGAATTACCCTGGAGAAACCTCCAGAGGGACCTTTTAGCAGCTAACATGGGGGTTACATGGGATGCATCTGCCCACACACCAACATCCACAGCTAGATGGCTTGACTCACTTTATGGTTAAACAGCAAATGCCGCCACTCGGTGTCGTTCACCTCATCAAACAGCTTGCTGTGAAGCTGGCTGACTGCACATGGGATTAATCTTGCCCAAGTGAGGTTCCATAAAGACAAGCTGGCATGAACCCTGAGCGTTACTTGTGCTAAATAATTATGCAGGTTGTAACATTTCATCAGGAAAAAATCATTTCCAGAGTATAAGGAGTGGCCTTAAAAAAAAAAAAGAAAGGGACCACATACATACTACACCTGCATCATTTAATCACTGTGTCAGTCCCAGCATCCCTCCAGAAATTAGATTCTTGACTATCACTCCACTTGAGGGGACTGTTCTGTTCCAAGTTTGCAGTCAAGTAAAAGGTTGTTTTTTAAAGGTTGGGTTTTTTGCCAACAAATTTTGTAATTTTTGCGTACCTCATTCTCAAAAGCCCATGTCAAACACCTTGATATGCTTTATGTTTGAAATGTCAGATGTAGTTTCCTCAGCTCCACTGTTTCCAATGAAATCTGTAAATTCATCCCTATAAACAGGCAGGCTCAGTTTTAATTTGAATGGTACCTGTCTCCACATGCATCTTTTCTGATAGTTGCCCCCTGCATTCAATTTTTCCTCCAACACTTTTATACCCTGCATAAACATAGCAGCGCTCAGTACTATACTTGCCTGGTGGCACAGCTCCTCCCATTGTCTATGCAGAAGCTCTACGCGCTCATTGAGGATTGAGATATCATCTGCACTGATGTAAGCAGAGAGTGTATCCTTTAGCAGGGAGAGGTGTGCAAGGTCATCTGTCCATCCTTCAACAGCATTCTCTAATTCCTAATTAAAAGAAGTGCACAAGGAAAAAGGAACAGTTTACCAACACATAACAGTTTGAATGTGTTCAAGAAGCAGGCAGATACCGTTGTTATCCCACTGAATTAACAAAGTCGTATCTCAGCAAACCTACCATTTCAAGGGACTATTTCAGCCTGTTTAAGAGAAAAACACCAATTCCATGTGTCAGTATTTTCAGAGAATGATATATCAGCCTTGTAACAAGCAGTCACAAAGTAAAGTACCATTCAAATATCTCCAAAGCTTGAAGACATTTGGGGCTTCCAAGTACTGGTTTGGACCTTTCTGTAGTGAGAGTATTTTCACATTTCACCATTTATCTAAACAGCAAAGAATATAGGATAAAAGCGTGTTACCTAAGATCTCTCTTACCTCAAATAAACTGTTTATTTGAGTTTTACCTCAAATAAACTGTACAGATACTATGTGCTTATTTTTCCCCTTTAGAAAAAACTTTAAGTGAGAATTTCTTAAAGAAATATACACATGAGTATTTAGCAATCTTACAGTGCTTTTCAGACTCTATTCTGATCTCATTTTGACCAGATGTTTGCTTACCATGCCAGATTTTCACTGTAGTGAGATTGCTCAGGTGTGCTGTCCAAACGCTGTATGGATAGCTTCTTAGCTTGTCACAGCGATGGCTTGCTGGTTTGCCTAGCCAGTAAAAGCCTACTGTACACTGGAAGAGGTTACTACAAAACGCAAGCGATGGTAAGTTAAATAGTCAATAGACAAGTACTTTACCTTGCAACGAATTTGCTCTGTATGCAACTCATCATGGTGTTCTGGCAACGGCTGAGAAAGCTTTTTTCTGAATGATCTTAGCTTCTCCAGGGAGTCTCCTATGCCCTTTTCACATTTTTCCCAGTCCTGAAGGCAGAATCAGTATTATTAGACTTTAATTCAGATCTGTATCACACTCATGTCAGTTGATTTGACTAATTAACCACGAAACAGTGAAAACCTTGCATAATAATAGCATGACCTGAAATTCTCCTCTCAATAATACTCAGAGCATCAGAGCTTGGGTCATATGTACAACTATGGCAACTTGTCTTTTATGTAGAGCTCTGCTAGTAGAAACACACAGACCTAAGCCTCCTACTATTACAGGGCTGTCTAAATCTTTTCAGTAAAGCCTCTCCCTCTGAAAATGATTTTCTACTTCCTCTCTTGAATGCCTGTATTAAACAAGCCACTATACTTTCACAGAAGCTCCATTCAGATGCATCATGCTCCAGAAGAAAACGGCTGGGGATACTGCAAATTCAGGTCAGACTGAAATACTGCAGTACCTCCCCAAATTATGATCCTAGCAGCTATAGTCAGTTCAGCGTTTGTATACTTTCCAAAATTTTAAATAAGTCCAAGGTAATCACACCCTACCAATAGTCACCAGACAGTACTGCTTTACCTGTCTCACCTGTGTGTTAAAGCCTGCTAAAAAAGTATTCACAGAGAAAAAAAAACTGTAAAATAAGCCAGTCAACCTACAACGAATGCCAGTTGTGTGATACCAGAAGGTATGGAAACTTATTTTTCTTAGCTGTCTGTTTCAATGCTACTTTTCTTCCACCACTGCCTTTGTATTTCTCGCCTTCCATTTTTCCCAAACCATGCCAATATTTCATGGTCCTCTTCAGAATGGGGCTTACAAATAACAGGTCTTGCAAAAAACCTCTCTTTAGCATCTTTTTTCCTCTCTCTTTAATAGTATGGCCTTATATGATAGTAGTCTGCGATGTTATTAATGACAAAACATATTATTAGAATGTACTGCTTGTGCTTCTCATTTGGTCAGAAGATCACTACAAAGTCACGTATTTAAGGCCAAGATAGCATCATGTAAAGCAGCATCAATATCCATGAGGCCATTTATACAAACTGCATGGTAATTTCCTTTCTTCTTCACCTTCAAGCATCAAGTTTTATATTTTCACTGGAACAAAATGCCACAGAACCTGTAGTCTTCCCAGATAACAGTCTTCAAGACTAAAAGTTCCTAACCTAATTCTTAGCAGATGCCCAACTAGAGGCTGAGATAGAAGGAGCACAGCTTGAAAGAGGGAGAATTACCTACTTAGCTGAACTTTTCTGAAATAATATTTCATTTTCTTGCACTGTTTTGCTTCTTGGTATTTACAAACAAAATTACAGTGTCTGTAATTCTGTAATTCTATTAGACCTCTGCAACTGTTCTCAAAAGCACTTGCCCTATTCTGCTTAAACACACACAAGTTCAATTTTCATTGTTCTCCCTGGAGTGAGTAAAAGAGAGACACACAGAGACCAAAGTTGAATTCCAGCCTATCATCTTGAGTGCTTACAGTGAGGTTAGCACATACCTTGGACACAGCTTACATTAAAATACAGTTCAAGGCTCCCTCCTTCAAGATCACAGAAATTTACTAAAACAGCAAATATTCAAGACACTGGAATGAAACACCAACTACTTGATGGCTGGATACAGCTTAACACTGGCATGTAGAGGGAATAAGGAAGATCTTATTTTCAATATAGTGTGTACGTATAAAAACTGACCAGCATACTGCAAAATAAAATACACTTTTGCTATGTGTTGAAAATAGGACTTGTAGACATTCTTAAGGCACACATGATTTGCAGTATCATTTACTGGCAGTGCTGTGGAAATAATTAAAAGATATCAACTAACATACAGGCCAGTTGTGAAGGAGTACCATTTCTGTTTTATAGATTTGAAAATCGGAGATGGTGAAAAGAAATGGCAAGGTCATGCAATTTCTGTATTTGTTCTCATCTCTTGATGAGGGGTGAGAACATCAGGGTTCACAGTGCAAAACCGTGAACTCGCTGAAAGAATAAGTATATAAGAAACCGCACACTTACTTTCAGTAGTAAAGCAAGCTGTTTCTTTTGTTCCTCAAGTTGGATGCTAGCTGTCTTCCAGCGCTCCTGAATTTCAGTAAGCTCTGTTTGCAGGGCTGCCTCGGCTCCACTGTCAGCACAGAGCAACAATTGCTTCCCAGCTTCCACAGCGAGGATATAACTCCCTTGCTGCCTTAGGAGAACTTTCTCTTTAAGCTGCAAAGATCAATGGCTTTCTGTCAGCTTTGTCTTTTTAATTGCAGTTAGCAATTCAGTGCAATTCATCCTAAAGCCCATATTTTACCAATTAACTTCTAACTAATAGATAGGATACCTTGGCTTAAGCATAGGCTACTGTCCAAATGCTTTACCCTACCCTTTGCACAATCACTCACTGCAGCAAGCTATCAGACAGGACATTTCTCCACAGAGATAAAGACATGAAAAGACTTCACTCCCTCCTCATTCATATCAGTATCTCAATCGCTCTTCAAGAGGAATACTTCCTCTTGAGCCTGTTATGCTCATAAGCTTTATTATTGTACAGTATCTTCCAGACAAAAAGCTTGAAGACACCGAGCTGCTAAACAGATACTGCTAACCTTGCATTAAGTGGACGTCAAATACTCAAAGCCTCCTTTTTCTTAGCTGGAACACATTTCTAAAACAAGATATTATTTTTGTGCATTTATTTTTTCAAGAAAGCTTCAGGGAGAGGTTGGTTATAAGCAAAAGAGGAACAAGTAAGGCTGAAAAGAGAGCCCCTAAGTTCTATACTGCATATTCTGTTATGAACTTCAAGTTCCCTTCCATCAAAAGGGCTCCAAAGAAAAACCAACATCCAGCATCGCTTTCTGCAAAGCAGACAACCTGAATCTAATGCACTTTTTAAATCATCAGAACTATTTAAAGTATGAAGGCTACAAAAAGGGTGTGTGCTTTTTTTTCTCCTTCTTTCTTTAAACACATTAGACATACTTGCACTTCATCCAGTAAAGCTCTGGCTTGCTGCAGCGGGATAGGAGCATTGCCCAGCCCACTCACTGGCTGACAGGACATTTCCACCAGCCACTTGCGCAGTTTCTCTGCCATCTCCCTATAGCGTTGCCACTGGTGGATCTGGCTGTCAATGATTCCCCTCCTCTGCTGTGCCCGGCGAATTACTCCCTGCCATTGATTACTTAGAAGGGTCAGCTTCAGATAAAACTCATCTCTGTTTAAAAAAAAAGAAAAAGAAAGAAATTCACAATAACCTTCATATTGTGATCCGTTTCTTTAATGGAAAAAAATGGAGGGAAAGGGAACGTGTTTTCTGGCTGCTGATTACGAACCACGAGGAGTAAAGCACTGAACTCTCATGCAAGTTGATGGAGGTTGGAGTACACACTTCACGTGCAGGGACTCCTATTAGGGAGGAGCCTAATAATAGCCCCTAAAGGGCTCCTATTATCAAGACTAAAAAAAACCCCAAACCCTTAACATACGAAACACTTCCTCCTTCCCCCCAGGAGTATACAAAGAAACCCTAACATCCCAATAAACAGTTTCTTTTATATTTGGATCATGATACCCTTAGCAAAGCCAATGCACCTATAGAAGTGTGAAGCCATTAGTGCTGCATTGATTTTCATGTATTTGATCTTAAGCTTTTAAAATAAATTCTCTGAGATGGGAATGGATTTTTCTTCCATCACATTTGTGCTGTAGGTGATTTGAAGTGCCAGCAGAGAATCCTCCTGGGACAGGTAAATCCCCAAATGTTTTAAATCAAGTACAACTCACTGTAAATCTGTCACTGCATGCTCCTTTGTGAAAATAACATTTTGGAGGTACATCAGAACAGGCATACAAAGATCCAAGACCAATCTTTGTCAGAGATGCAGCCTGAAGGCCGCAGTTTTCTCAAATACATTCACATATTCACCCCAAAGCATCCTAAAGAACACTGTCTTAAATAAGACCTGACTAATCAGTAGATTAACCACATCAGGATTAACTTCTACCTCAAAAGAGTCTCATCTGAAAAATGACATCTTACGCCATCTTCTCTGTTTAAAGGTCACCCACTAGTTTAAGTATTACTTCACATAACCAACAGCAGCAACAGCACAGAAAAGTGTACCTGTCATCCACCTGTCCTTGCTCTAGGAGGTGCTGCCCATCAGAGATAATTGAATGCAAAATCTGCTGGCGGCTGAACATCTCTGCCTGGAATAGCTGTTATTCAGGAGATAAGGATGTTAAAGCAAGATCTTACATTTTCACTCCATGTGTTTGTACTGGTAAAAATGAATTTTCACTTATTTAACCTTGTTCCAAATGGATTCAGTGGGAGTTTTGGCATGAACTTAAAAAGGAACACATTTAACAATTTTATTGCTGGAGTTAACTTATTGCTTTTAGTAATTACTATTAGTTCTTTGGAGTTTTTAAGCACTATATTTAAAAGCTAAATAATTTCAACAGAAGCTAAGCTTGATGTTTCTTTGGGTATAAATTTGTGACCAGCATTATAATTTACAACACAACCTAGATAGGGTATTTATTGCGGGAACGCAAGGGAACTTTTATTTTCTGATATGTTTAAGAATATTATAGTCTGTTACCTTGTTAAATGGAATTTATGTCTGCAGTTTGTGCGAGAAAGTGTTATTCAAACTTTGAATACAATTTTACACTGCCAACACAGCCTCTTTAAAAGAAACTGCTAGCAATAGGAAGGTAGAAATTAATTAGCTAATTTATTTTTCCCTCTGGTCATTGTCAATTTTTGTAAAACTTTTAGAGGTCACGTATTACTTAAATATTGCCCAACTTAAGACAAACAATTATATACGACTTAAATATATATGATTTAAATATGTTTTTAAAAACATCTTTTCTCTTAGTAAGAAATTTCTGCTCCTGTCACCTCTATTTCTGTCAAGGTGGGGGGGATGAATGGAGCACAGGAGGCAACATCTATCAGTATTATTGAAAGATTGAGATTAAACATTGTTCAACCGTTTGATTAAACTGTCACTTTTTTTTTTTTTTCGAGAGAGATAAAAAGGACAGGTGAAACAAAGGCTTATCAGCATGAAGAACTGTCCTTAGAGTGGATGTACGTACTCAATCCCTATCCAAAACCAGAGATACTTCTGTCAACACCCACTTGTTCTGTGCACACACATTAACCATCTCTGTACATAAAGGGATAATCCATTATGTAGCACCACTTGCCATTCCAATTTCTTCTTATATGTAGATCACTAAGAAACATAGAAATAGAAGATCAAAGAAGGAGGAAAGGAAGGCAGGCAGAGGAGTACACAATACCAGCATACTTCAGTAACTGAAGTTGCTGGCAAGCAACGCACCCTCTCCCAACACCTTCTCAAATACTTGTCTTGGTGCACTCCCACTGCGATGGAGTCCCATGCGATGTTCTAGCAAGCAAACTGTTATCTGGAGAACTGTGGAAGAATGACTTCAAGATTGCCCTGACAGACAGAGTTATCTGATGCACATGCAGGTATTAGTGCGTGGTATTTGGAAAAGGCATCATTCCCATGTTGCTGGTTTGCAAACTTCAGTGGGAAGCTGTTCTAAGTAAGGCCACTGAGGTAGCTGGGGTCCTGTCTGAATAAACATTAGCCATGTTATGAGTCAGCACTGTAAAGTTGATAACAGAGCTGGATGCATCCCAGTATCTATTCTGGGAATGCGTGTAGAAGCAACATATTTTCTCATTATCTTCACAAATACAAAACAAAACAATCTAGAGAGTCATCTCAAGAAGTTCAGACTTGACCTTTCTCTTTCAGTTGTGAACAGGGGAAAGCAACTTCTTCATGATTATTAGGAGGCATTGTGAAGAACACTGAGCACTGGGTACATACATTTGGGTAATACAAAATGCAAAAATAGCTGGGGGTAAAAAAAATTTTGCAATTTACAACATTTGGTTAAGATGAAATGTAGCCGATGAAAGAGTCAGATATTAGTTCTTTAAATTCCAAGAGAGGACTTCATTGTCTTAGGAGAAAAAAGCTTCCACAAAGCACATCAGTATCCTGTAGCTAACTGCTCAGATCAAGGTTTCAAGAGAGAATGTTTAAGATATGCACTATTTTGATATTCAAAAAGATCCCTCTTAACCCTCTAAGAAAAAGTATAGCTGTGACCAAATACAACAATAATATGAATTTATTCCTTTAGACAGTGATGAGTTCTGGACATTTATAACTCTCTCAGAAAAGTGAGATTTCTCAGATTTCAAAGACACACTGTCCAGTCAAGGCTGGCAGAACTGAGTGGAAATGAAATGGATGACATTTGCGGAAGCAAATGTAGCTAAATGCTAAAGGAAATGTATGCTAACATTCCTCTATCAGCAGTTCATCCAAACACTATGCTGTGAGATGCAAGATGAGAGGGGGTGGAAAGACATGACTTCCCCTCTGATCTGACTTAGAAGATCTGGTCTGAGTCTACGAGTAGGTCAGCTGACATCTGAAAAAGTTGTGGGAACTCAAACTACTGTATCCACTTGGGAGCCTTAGTATGAAAATTGACTTGTCTTACTTGATCTTTACCAGGATTCTTGGCAGTAACAACGTGGGTGGAGAAAAAATGTGCGTCACTTGACTTGACCAAAGAATCATAAAGGCATCTTCCAGTAAAAACTGAATCAGTTTGTCCTTGCAGAAAAAGCTGGGCAGTTCTTTCCTACTGCAAACAGGTCTATAGACAAATGACTCTAGCATGGAGTGAAGATTGAATCAGTTTGTACTCCAAGCAAATATTACCCAAGGGAACACAAATGGTCACTCCACAATGAGTTACACAACTCAGTCCTTCATAGAAAAGTCTTCTTATAACATGCTCTTCAGATGCTGTGTATGTTGTCAATTTGATAACAAATGAACAAAATCAGAGTAACTGAAAGAACAGAGACTGAAGCATCTTCTGCATTTAGGACTGAAGACAAAGGGCCAAAGTGCATGAGGATAGTTAGACTTTGTGAGAAGAGCAGTATAACCCCTCTGCCTCCTCTGGCACTCCTTGATTCCCCTGGTAAAAAAATAACCTGAAGTACACTAAATATAGGGACATACACTCGGAAATACTGATGAAGGCTTCATACACAAAATATTAGACACATATTTAAACCCTCCTCTAAACTGCGTATCACTGATATATTTGCATGATGCTGTTTTTAAGTTAATATATCCTCACAGGGGGCAAATATAACTCATTTCAAGGCGTACTACTACACTACTCCACAAAAGAGTGTGCGTTCCATTTAAGTAGAAATAGTATGTGTTGTAATTATATATAAATACACATTATGACTTGCCTCATGTGCCCTCTGTTGCTCTAAAAGGCGCTGGTAGTTTCCAGAAATCTCTGCAGCCAGCTTCTGCTCAGTCTGTACTAATAAGTCCATCCAAGTCTCACACTTCTCCAAGAAGGTCTGATGCTGCAGCAAGAAAGACTGCAGCTTACTGAAAGGAAGAAAGTTGTATTCAGTTAAGGTTTTCTGCTCTCACAAACAGTGTTAAGAGAGTTCTCCAGTAACTTCCAGCAGAAAACCAAATCAGACAGTATTTCTTTTCCTACTGAGCTGCCTTGCTCCATTTGTTTAGTCTACCCTTTGAAAAGTACCAGTTTTCCTCATTTCAAATTCTACTCACTGGTCACAAAATCACTATCTCAGCTCAGCACTGAGGCATTGGCTCACTATTTGTTTACAAGTACCTCAAAAGAAAGGAGCTTTGGTTAATGAAATGCCTGTAACATAGAAAGTTTTCCACGCTCTGCAGAAGGTATACTTTCTAGTTGATGTAACCTAAGAAAATTATACAATGTTTTTTAGCTGTCCTCACCTGAATCTCTCTGTAGTCTGAGATGAGATCAGAGACCAACGTCTGTTCAGATTCTGCATCCTTTTGATTTCTTTATCATTTAGTGGAAGCCTGTAACCTAGCTCATTAAGGCGGTCCAAATCTGGCGCCATGCTGCTGAACTTCAACATCTGACTCTGCAACAAACAAAAAAAACCCGGTAACTAGGAAGTTCCCTAATAACATTACTATAGCCTGCAAAATTATGAGCTAGCACTCAGATAATTTTGGCACAGCCTTGGTTGCCACCAAGTGGCAAGCAATCCCTATGCCAGAGAAGAATTCCATTTCCAGTTTTGAGCCTCTTTGGTTCCAGTCCAGAAAAAGGCTTAAGCATACGCTTAAACATGCAGAAAGATGTACTTCAATTGCACCTGCTTAAGTGTTTTGCTGAACTGGGGACTTACCTCCCAGAGCTGCAAAAGAAGGCTACTGTTTGAAGTTGTATGTCTATACTGCCAAAAAGCTGAGTCTTTTTTCTTGACTGTTAACCTGACTGTGAGGCTGGCAAATCTATATTGCATGTATAGACCTTTTTGTTTTGCAATGCAGACATATCCAATTCACTAAATTAGGGAAATGTCCTGTGCTTGTTAGCATGCCCAAAGTGGTACTAGGTGTATAGTTAATTCTGCTAGAAAAATAATGGAAGATTAAAATGAGAAAAAAGAGCCCAGATGGCAAAGTTCATCAACTTCCTATCAGGGTCTCTAAAAGAGAAGGAAAAAGCCAACAAAAACAAAGAGCAGAAGAGCGCAGATATATATTACACGGTACATGGTATAATGCACACAGTGCCCAGTTTCACTTCAGTAAATCAAAATATCCAAAATGAGTAGATGACTTGGTTCCTAAACTATACACCACTGAGACAGGAATTGCATAAGTTCAAAAAAAGTAGAAAGAAAACAAGATGAAGGAAATCTCCAAAAACTTCTGAAATTGATTTCCATTCCTGTTCTAATTTGATATTCATTTTATTTTAACCAGTTTGCCTTTTTATTTACTTTTTTCTTAAAGGCACAGTAACATGGACAATCACTCCTTGACTGCCACCAGACTTTGAATTTTTCAGTCTTACACTTTGCATGAGTGCTAGGCATTTAACACACACTGAATGCAAGTAAGATTTCTGTGGACATGCTGTACTACAAATTAACCAGGTCATCATAAAAAATGAATGTTTTCTACACTGATCACTCACTTTGAGTTCCTCCATCCTACTCTTGATTGCTGAGAGATCAGATGAGTGACTGGGATCTTGTCCTTTCAGTACTTCTTCTGCTTCTGTTATCCAAGCCTCAAGGACTTGCAGGTTCTTGGCAAAGGTTTTATAGTCCAGTACTCCGGCCTTAAACAGAAAAGGACCCACAATTTAACAACTTAGTATCAGGACAACTTATTGCCATTATGCTCCTTGTTACCCTTATTCTAGACTTAAGGACAGCTGTATAGGCGGCAATTGTGTAGGGGCATTGTGTAGGAGCATTTGTAACTGCTGTTCTTCTCACAGACCAGTCTGTAGAGTTAGGGTTTTGTTACCATGGGGTCACTGCTATGCCTTTGCAGTAAAGGCTGCCTCACATTAGAACCTGGCACTTTTAAGTCCTTTTCATGCATGAAAATAAGACTTGATCATAGCAAAAAGGCAGCACTTCAGCAAAGCACGTAAGGATCTCCCTGCTTGGAGATAGCTCATCTTTTCTAATCGCCTTCTGTGAAAGACCTCCACTTAATTTACTGATCGATGGAGAGAATTACTAGTTGCACTTACTGAAATCTGAAATGCAAAATCTCTCCTATGTTTTGTTTCCTCATAGCATGGTGGTTTTACAAACACATTCTAGACATATTGGATTTCTTGGATAACTGCGCTTGTCACCCAAACAGAAGCCGCTGCCTTGTTATTTTCTCACCCATATACTTTCCTTTGGAACACAGTCTGTTGCTCCTTTTTTGTGCATTAGTCCCCGATGAAACTAGCAATTAGCAACATATACTGTATAGATTTGGAAGCAAATGGTATTTGTCAGTATGACCACTGACATTAACAGTCAAATCAATTTCCATTCAAATCAATGCTACATAATTGTTAAGAATCTCTCCTCCCTCTGTTTTACCACTAAAGAACTACCTGGGAGGAGAGATTGCTTCCTGAGTGAGCACTAGCTGCGGATCCAGCTGTAAGTATTATTGCTGTCTGCAGAAGGAACATCTCACTTGGCATTTCAGGATGAACATGTTCACTCTCTGCCATCAACCTGTGTGGTATGCTCTCCTATTCCCGTATATTGTTCCCTCTTCCAATTTCTCTGCTCCGGACTGAGCGTATTTTTTTCAGGAGGCTGCTTAGCTGCAACCTCCAGGGATGCCTATAAAATGCTGATGAAAAGCTAATACCACCCTCTTTTCCCATGCAATTTTGGCTAACCTACCCGCTTTCAGGTACAACAGCATGATCAGGTGCAGGGACTGAAAACACTTTACATACCTGAAGTACAGCCTGTTGCTTGTGAAGAGCCTGTTCTAGAGTTGACAGATTCTGGTTCAGAGATAGCTGATCAGACTGTATAGTTGCTGCTGCTGAAGCCTCCACTCGGCTTTTTAGCTCCTCTCCTAGTTCTTGAAGAACAACTAGTGACTCCTGTGCTGTCTTCAAATCTTTGAGTAGATCCTGTGGCAACACAGCAAACAAAAATATGAATAGTTACCCTGACACTCTGAAGTGATGCCATCTTCACCTGGTCTAAAGGAGGAATGAAATGAGTGAACTCCACCACTATACACAGGACTTATATTCACTACCGTATTTCAATGCTAGTGTCCACTAACACTCTGTATGCAAATGAAATGATGTGCAGAATAAAAACTATGCTGAAGTACTTATGTGCAGGGGAACAGAAAGAAGTGACTGCTCAGCGTCTTTGAACAAGTGAGACAATTCTTGTTGAAATGAATGCTTTGAATCTACTGAGATGCTGTTCCTATGCAGTGGAAGCCCTCACTGTGGACTGGAGCAGGCCTGACTAGACTTTCCTCTTTTTTTTCTGCTATGAATTCCAAAGGGGAGTGAAAAATTAACTTCTACTGTAATGGCTAAAGAATACGGCATCAGGACATGAAGAAATTATTCTGACTGACCAATTTTGGTTGCCAATCCAGCAGACTATGGCAGCAAATGCTTACAAAGCTCATTAATGTGCTTATTTTTCTCCTGCAATTGTTTCTCCTACACTAAGAAAGTTACCTTTTTCATATTCTTATCAGTGACACTTAACATAAACTCAAAAAACACCAGAATCTAACCATGAACAGGAGATAAATTATCCTGCTGCCCTGAGATACAGTCTCAAAAAAGGAAGAACCTCAAGGTTTCAGAGTGAATGGCAGCCTTCTGTAACGAAGGATAAAGAAACCCATAACGCTGAACATACACAGTCTCTTTTCAGACAAAGCGAGCAGCCTTCAGTGGTGGGGGCAGAGTCAAAAGATCTTACATTTCTTTCTAATGTAAGGAACTCAACGGACTTGACAGAAATATTTGCCCAAGCAAGAATCTCTTGGATAAGCAGGGACTTCAGATTGAATCAGATGATATAATTTATCCATCTCCTCCAGAGATGACTTTTGATAAACACTTCTGAAATAGTACACCAACAAGGAATAATGGAGGGGAACATGTGAAAAGTTCCGGAAACTCATGAGGTTTGGGTAGCAGAGGTGAAGCTCTCTCTCCTGTGCCTGAGGGATGTTGTAATTTAAGCCCATGAAGCTGTGCGAAAGTACAGAGCTTAACCGAACATACGTTGCAATCCTGAATCCAAGCGGCAACCTCGTCATCGGCAATGTCTTTGCTTGTGGCAGTCTTCAAGAGTTCATTGGTCTGCTCTTCACGCTGCCGGACCGCGGAAGAACACTGGTTGTAATAGTCCTTGTATCTCTGCCAAAGCTGAAGGAGGCCCTTACTGGCACGCAGCTGCTCTGCAATCTCTTGCAGAAGGTTGTTCCACCTGGCAAAGAGATCGGATGAATGATCAAAGCATGTGAGTTCACAAGAACTATCCCAGCCCCTCTTCCTCATTGGCATTTCCCATGGTGTTCTGGCTTTTAAGAAATTTGGTAATAGCCATGATCCAGATATACGAGGAAAAAAATGCAACCCAAAAAATATGCTCACAGCTGCTTGAAGTGTCACATCAGATCAGATCTGTGGTCCATCTTGGGTGCTGCATATTAAGGTTTGGGTTCAGAGCTGGAGCACACTTTGGAAGTAAGCCTTCTGCTGTCCCCACTCAGCATGTTTTGGTTCACCTAGAACAGGCTCTGTGTCCCATGACTGGCCAGAACTAGATTCCTGCGAGGGCCAAAGAGACCCAAAACAGGCATATATATGAAACTATTTCTTCTGAATGGGTTTCCTCCTTCCTAAATACCTCTGAAGGTATTTAAAATCTTAAATCTCTGTGTACCTCCCTTCTAAATTATGCCCACAACTATCAGAATTCTTTATAGTTTTATTATGCTATTAAATCTCTAATCCTTCTTTCAATCCTGTTAATTCTTGGCTGTAGTAGCAACCAGAAACAGCTAATTTCTCAGTCTACGATATGAAAATTATTTCTAATATTCTTCTAAAAAATTTGCTGTTTTTATTGAATTATACCATCATTTCTTTACTACAGGAAACCACAATCTTTTCAATTGTTATCATGCGATGGAAATGATAAAGTGAAAATTTTCTCAGTCGTCTCTGAAACTCTTACCTCCTACACTATCTTCTTCAAAACAGGGTGAATAATCCCTCCCCTCCACTCCCAGTATTCCAGGATGGGATGGACCACAGATTAAAATCAATTTGGCATGACTGCATTTTGTAAAAAAATTCAACTTCCCACCAAAGCAGTTTTTCCTCTTGCACCCTGCCTTTATGTAGCTTCTCTGAGTAACCCCTCACACTGGTTTTCACACGGATTCCAGGTAGCAGAAGCTATTTTCCAAGCTACTGGCCAAAGCTTATGTCTTCTTTCCTATCATGCCCGTCCTACAGCTAGAAATAGCCATCTGAAAAATGGGGAAACTGAGGCATGCATAACAAACATAAACTTTTATACAGCATTCTCATTTTTTAAATGCAGTATTATTTTGCAACAAGGGATTTATGAATCTAGCTTGGCAAAGCTACTGACCGTAACGTCAACATCCTTTGCTGGAGAAAATAACGTTTCTCTTATTAGTAGCAGCAAACGAGTCAGTTCTCCTCCAGCCTTTGGCATTAGGGGGTTCTATACCCCTAATCAACCTCCCAGCATATGCTGACAATATTTTCTCCATCATTTCTGTGTTTCGAATGTGTTACTGTAGAAAGTTCACTAACATTTTGGGTACTTTTAAATGAGAAATTACCATTATTCTGTTATTGCATTACTTAGTATTTCATCTGCCGTTGTGATGTACAAAAAAACAACACTTTGAGCAGACTCTCAGTATACCTGTATAAACAGGTATAAACAGTCTGTATACCTCTATCTGGGTAGCCCTATACGATGGAAAATTAAAGTCAATGGATAAATTCAAAGGTACCACTGAAAGTAAAGTTCAGCAAAAACACAGGTCTTCTACCTCATATTCATTTCTTTCAAAGTACTGCTAAGTGTTTCAGTCACTGGTGGGTGACACTCTT